GGCGGGATTCGAACCCCGGTCAGCCGCATCGAGGGCTAAGGCCTCCATACATGGGTTGTGTGCGCTAATCACTGCGCCTCCAAAGCACAGCCTAAATGCAGCAGTTTCATCATTTAACCCATTCATCCATCCATTAATGAATGGATCCATTTCTCCGTGTATTTCCAGACCTGGAGACCCGGTTCTGGCTGTAGTTCTGTGGTGAGGCAGCCCGGCTGCCCCTCTGCCTCCAGATGAATGAAGAGCCCTCCGGGACACAGAGACACGGCCAATGCAGGTACCCTCTGACTGGCTGCTTTCATCCACTTCGCTCTGCTGGTTCCCATGGAGACGGTCTTCTTCCCAATGGTTCCTAACTGGGCCGATAGAACCTGATCCACTGAACCAGAACCTGAGGTCCAGCCTGCCGCTGCTCTGTTTGACGCCATGTGTTTGTTTATCTTCTCAGGGCATGCAGGTGTTTCTGCAAACATGATGAAGAAGAAGAATCCACACAAGTGAGTATTTCCGCCCTCCTGTTCCCGCCGTGGGGAGGAGCCGGCCCTTCTGGGGCCTTAACCGCCTTTTCTGTGTCTGCAGGAAGCATAAGAGCAGTTTGGGCCCGCCCACCAAAGTTCTGTCCCAGCCGCGGCGCAACATCGTCGGCTGCAGGATCCAGCACATCTGGAAGGAGGGCGGGGGGCACGTGGTGTGGAAGGGAACGGTGCTGGATCAGGTGACCACAGGGTGCTGCCGCATAAGCTCTGCTCCGGCGGTGATGCTGTTAGAGATGATTTAGAAGTAGTTTTCATTCATTTTGGGGGGGGGGGGGGGGGGGGGGGGGGCGCGTTCCCAGACTGGAGGGAAGACATGGAGAACGGAGTAGCAGCAGCTCTAGAGGAGGTAACTGGATGTTTGTTCCCTCCAGGTTCCTGTGAACCCGTCGCTCTACCTGATCAAGTACGACGGATTCGACTGCGTTTACGGTCTGGAGCTCCATAAGGATGAGCGCGTTCAGGGCCTGGAAGTTCTTCCTGACAGACTCGGTGAGGAGGAGCCGTGATCCGGAAAACGACGCTCCGACAGCTGAAGCTCAGAGTCACCAAACGGTTTTACTGTATGATGACAGATGAGTGCAGAATAGATGAGATGGAAATATTTCATGAGAGCGATGCTGTGTGACCTTTGACCCCAGTATTAGTTTAATCCATCCAATGATCCTT